TAGCATTTACTGCTATTTTCCATTCTGACCGATGATGGGATGGTGGGTGAGAAAAACAACTTTCTCTGTCATCTTCCCTGAAACTAACTTCCAAGGACCTCAGAAACGATGGGTGCAAGTGAGAGAGAACAGGACAGTTATGAATAGATGACTGTTACCAGTCATCTATTGGTAACGGTCTGGAAATTGAGAGACTGACCTGTGACCCAGAAGGAAAGTAACTCAAGGATGCCCGGACAGAACACAACATATATATGATCCGGAATGACTGAAAAACATGTTTAATAACAAATATTCCTAAGAATTACGGGTTTCAGTTCCAAAACATGTCAGAAATAATTATTTATTCACACATCACAGACAGTGAGTAAAGCTGAAATGATTTAGGAAGAATTGGAACAATCTCTTCACATTCATGAGCTTCATACACGAATGCACTCTTACAACTATTACCTCGCTGGACTCTAATGAAACTCCGTGAGGTAAGTATTCACTTCATTTTACAGATAAAGGAGGGATCAAACAGGGAAGGTAATTTGCCTAAGATTATACACGTGTAGCGACAAAGCAGATTATCGTACAGTATGCGGTCTCCCTTAGTAAGGGATCTTAAGTTGGACAATTTCGAACACTACCCTGCCATTACGGGGAAGACCCCCGAGCCCGCCACTACACATCACCTTCACCAACGTGGGAAGGATTCTGTGCTGCCAGCTCCTGGGAGCGGGCATCTCCTCAGCCCTCAGGACCAACGTGGAACCGATCTGCAGAGACCATGAAATTTTTCTTACAAAAGATGGAGAATTTTTCCTTTTGAATCCCTGTATTATATCTAGATTTCAAAAACATGTAATCTTTACATAACTGTGATTATGGCCATGACTGAAGTTGAAGGCACTTAGGTAGTTTGAAATACTGCATTACATCTTCACGAAGCAGAGGAGTACTTTTTTCTGCCAAAAGTGTTAGTTATGTGACTTTGTGTATTTTATTTGAACTCTGAGCCTCAACCTCCTCATCGGTAAAACTGCGAGCAGGAGGAGAATTACAAGAACGAGACTTATTTGGCACCTGCTGCATTTCCCGCACGACATACGGTGCTTCAGACGCACGGACTTCCTGAGTCCGCAGCACGATTATTACTGCTATTTTTTTACGGATGAAAACAATTGGGTCACAAATTTTAAATAACTTGCCCAATCAAATACCAAGTGGCAAAATCAGGACTCAAAACCTGGCGGTCTGCCTGCAGACTCACTGCTCTCAACAAGAACCAAGATAATCTGCGGTCCAGGATCTGTTATGAGGACTGGATGAAACAGTGTCCAGAGGTCAGCAAGCTGCCTGATACCCTGTAAGCACGCTACACATCTTGGCAAGTATCACGACAAAATCAGCTTTTAAAATAATATATAGTATTCTGTAGCTATGTTTGTCAACAAAACATACATATATATCACATATATATGAAAGAACTATCACCAAACACATCTTTGATCGTTACATATGTCACCAAATAACTACCTTTTGAGATTTGTATCTTCCCTTTTTTGTTGAGCATTAGTGCCAATAAACTCAAGAAAATGTCAGAATTTAGTCTGAACATTCTGTAAGGAGAGAAGACTGTTAGTAAATACTCTCTCCTGCTGGACACAGGAGACTATCAACAGCAGCAGCTTCTTCTTCCTCTGTTTTTTCAGATGTCGAGATTGATAAACATGAAACTGTAGAACATGTCTTTCTTACACATTCACATGTAAGATCATGAACCATCCCTGATCTGGATGGAAAACCGACCTGTCTCGTCACCATCAGTAAATATACTGGGAGCTTGCCCCACATACCAAATTTCCTTCAACACGGTAGAAATGGCTGAGCTTTCTGTTTATAGTGGCTTTCTGAACAACAGCTTTTTTTTTCCTGCTCAGGATAATAACTAGGAAATCTTTGACCCCATGCATGAGTACCCCAAGAATGACTCCCTAGTTGATTGAAGGAATGGGGTTACTTTATCGCCCTCAAGTTGGAGAAGGTGTCAATGAAATCCTGGGGATAATGTCAAGTCTTAACTCCTCTAAGCTCAAATACCTTAGTGACTGCATACACGGCTCCTCGAAGTGTCTGAACAGCAAGTTTTAGATTCAGTCGAATCACATGGAGATTTTACCTATGTAATATCAAATATCTGAGTTTTCAGTAACGGTTTGACCAAGTATGGATTTTAATTCTAATGCTTGGATGCCAGGCTAATGCAGTGTGTTTATAATGCCAGTTATACTAAATGGTAACATAATACTCCAAGGTAGCCAGTCTTTAATCTAAAAGTATCTGTAACTAATAAAAACTGCCCCTCCCCCCCAATTCCTACTTATAAGCAAAGATTTGTAAGTTACTACTAGGTGATGTCTGGAATATGTGCTCAGATGGCCCTTCCCTCCACCTAACACTTCAACAAATATTATTGGGTTAAAATTTACCTCTACTATATAGATTTTCAATCGCACACATGAGATCATGAAATACTACTACAACACACATTTCTCTGTTTTCACAAATGTGCACCTGATATACATCTGGCAGTTACTTTGTGACTATACTTGACGGGCAAATTTCTTAGTTTTAACAGTTAATTTATTTAGATCGCTTTATTGACACAGACCTAGCCAGTGAAGGTAAGTATAAAACCCGTAATGTTACAAAAGAAACAAAGTCTGCACAATCTGGCTATAAAGGAAATTGTTATTCTAAATGAAAAAAAAAATCACATGGAAGTGAAACAAATGAAAGAAATCACTTGTATGTGTGATGTAAGGATTAGTCAAATTGGCACTTTACCCACTAACCTGGCTGATTTTAGGCATTTGACATGTTTCAGTGAGCTATCCTAATAATCACAGAATTAGTAAGCAATTCATATTCGCCATATACTTTGTAAAACATATGGATGAGTTTATATAACCAAACTAATATACTGCTTCACAATTTTGAGTATTTTAATGTATTTTTTTTTAAAAAACATGCTCTAAACTTCTACACTACTGTATTTTTGTATGTTCGGAATGCAGGGCCAGTCATGAAGCCTATTTTATGTAACAGGAGACTGCTGGTGAATTTTTAGGGTTGCAAAACATTAATAGCACAGACATTAGAGACAGTGAAAGATTTTATTTTTTTCTTTTACTTTCATCCAAACACCCTTTTGTGAAAAACATAAAAGCATGCACATTGATTGCATTCTTTTAAAGGAAACCCAAGTAATAACTAAGCTGTAAATCAACAATAAAAATAGCACAAACAAAAGCTTAAATGATATCTACGTGAAACGATTTATAGGTAGACACAGGGCTCTTAATTTCAGAAAATAGTAATTCAAGTCATATCAATACATGTTAAAAAGAAGCTTCTAATTTTCCAAATATTTTGATACAAAATTTTTAAACAAATATATTATAGACCTTTTATGAGACAAATATAAGGATGGTTACAAGAAACACGATGTTCCAGTGATCTTATGCAGCTCACTCTGCCTTCTCCAACTCACTTACAATCAATATCGTTCCAGTGGGACTGCTGCTTAAAATTTAAACTTAGAGCATGTAGCAGCTGGCTCCATAGCTCAGGGGTTAGAGCACTGGTCTTGTAAACTTAGAGCATGTCCATGACACTCAAAGTAAGTTACACAACATAGATTGATCTAAAGTGAACTTTACAAGTAAGAGAAAATTGCAGTTTGGCATGAGAACATGTTTCGTAAGTTCTACCTACAGCCCCGTTCATAATTAGGCCAACTGTATCCCGTGGGAATGTGTGTAAACGTGTGCACACTAACGTACACAAACCAGTTCCTGCTACCCAATTCTTGAAATGGCTGACTCTGGTTCTCGAAAATTCGACACAATTTCCCTTAACTATGAGTTCCATTTTGATTATCATGATTCAGTTGGTGTGTTGCATCTGAGACACTGATACAATTTTGCAGCAAAAATCCATTACCAATAAGCAGAAATGTTATCTTAAAGGACTAGTAGCTATCAAGTTGGGATTGTAACATAAAAATAGAGCAGATCACACTTTTAGAAAAGTCCTCTTCCAGGGGATACATTGTTCCACGACTAAAAATTGTGTGACTGGGTTCCTGAAACACAGCTCTTCTTTTGAGGTGACACAGATTAATTGTATGGCTCCATTAATACTAATGGGAACTAAACAAATTCACTCCGACCTGGTGGGTTAAGTCTGTATTTCACTGGCTTGAGGAAGGTGATTTCTTGACATAGACGAATGCAAAACGCCTTTGCCACAGCCGGTGAGCTGGCTCACGGGCACTTAAGTGGTCCAGCTCCACAGCAGGACACGCTGGCCGCGCGGGGAGCCAGGGAGCCAGCGACCCAGCAGCGCTGCTGCCGGGGAGCGGGGGGAAGAGGACTTGCGTACAGCGGAAATCGACCATGATGACAGAAAACATGATTTCTGGATTAAGTGTTTTGCTAAACCCAGAGTACCAGGCAAAAGGCTCATGCTAGGAAATCGGGTCACGTGTGTGAGAGCTCCCACCATCTTGGCTCCAACAAAGGCTCACGCTGATTATTTTGATCTAAAAGTAACAGGACGCCTTAAGGTTTTCGAGTACTTATGGCACAAATGTCGTGAGGTCCCGGGAGCTCAGCTTCAATCTTGAAAAAGCTGAGCAATTTAAAATTCGGCTGCAATGAATCAGGGCCGCGATATTGGCTTAAACTTAATTCTCGTATTTTATACATTATTCTTTTGTACGGGGTACAGGGTGTGCAAACGAAGCAATTTCAATAAATATTAGAAATGCTAATTACTTTGCAAATAGAACGTGAGAGCAGCTAATACCCCGGGACAATAAAAGCGCGTGCTGACCAGACCGCCTGCGAACACTTCTCGGCCCTCGCCTCATGTCCTCCTGAGACTTACCCGCAGCTTCTTTCACTGACTTGGAGAAATTAAGCAAAAAGCAAAATATTACACAGCTGCAGGGCACTAAATAGTTTAGTGATAAGAGTTTGGACCAGTCGAGTTGTGAAAAATTGAAAACAACAAACACGGTGACATACACTGCAAATTAATGTTCCTGAAGGCAGCTATCTGAACGACAAGACAGTAACAAAGTGCACAGTCCTAACAGTCGTCTGGAGTTGACATTAGTTCATAGGAAATGCCAAGTGTCACACAAACTCTGCTTATCTTTTCCCTTCCGGCAGCTCCCGCACTAACGCTGTGAAGCCGTGTGTGTTTGCCCAAGACCAAATGCATATTGGCTTTAGTCAGAAATTCTATTTTATCCAATGTTCAGTCAACAAGGCTTTATTTACACTTCTCATTAAATTCAGGAACAACCGCAGGTTATGTGCAGCCGCCAATAATAAACAGCGCGGCACATCCCGCTGCCCGGAGACAGCTGCTTGTTTACGCTTTAATACTAACCCACAAGCAGCCAATCAAACTTCCATAAATCCACGTCTTTACGTACAGGTTCCTTCCGGTCTCGGTCATGAGCAACCCAGCAGTCAAACCACTTAAGATCAAGAGTGATGGTAAAGTCTTCTTGAGACTTAGTTTAGAAGTAACACTTTCTCCAGGAAATTTGTTTCTTCTTTCTGGATCCAGTGAATCATAGAATTCTATAAGCAATCTATGGCCAGAATGGAAAAAAAAAAGTTTTAACTTGCAGGGTTAGTCACTTCAGTACTTTAATTTGACAAGTATCTATTGGGTGCCTATTACGTGCTGGAGAAGTTATAGGTCCTTATAAGGATACACCCAGGGACTTGGTTTAACTGGAGCTTCTAGACCTCAAAAATATCTTTAAAATGCTCTCAGATTAGTGTATATGAATTATATTATGTGTAGTATTTAAAAACAGATGGCTTTAAGTGATTTTATAGGGATGTTCTTGTTTTTAAAATTTTAGATCTTTAAAATCGCACGACCTGACTCACATGGGCTTTTTCTCCGCCTCTGCTGCCTCACAGCTCCCGTCCCGTCAGAAGTCAAAGGTCCGCAGTTCCTACACAGAGAGCTGCCTACCAAAAGCCCTTATTACTATTAGATTACATGTATTATTATTATAAGAGCAGGTAAAAGGACAAAATAGCACCGTTTATGCATTTTCCCACCTTATTTAACAAATGTAAAATTATAATAGCAGAATATACTCAATATAAAAATCTCAAAGTACAAAAAGGGAAAGTCCTTCTGTTGCCTTGTAACTCACATTCCCTACAGAAAAATCACTGTTTTCAAATGTCCAGGCTCATTCTAAACATATGCAAACACCTATAACACAAAATACTAATCATATTGTTCAGGTGTTTTTTTCTGAGAACAGATTTTCATGTCAAGGCATGTAAGTCCTACTTTTAAAATTCCTTCCATAACCATGTGGGTGGCACCGAATGGCTGGGTTAACGAACTGTCATGTACAACAGAGAGTCAAGGAAACTCAGAAATCTGTTCACGCACTTCATACAGTTTCCTTTTCAACACAGTCCATTTTCAGCAGTTCTCACTTGTAAAGTTAATCCAGGAGGGTTTGTTAGGAAATATTTTACTGTCATACAACAAGGGGCGGAGAAACAATGGCACTCTCCCAAGAAGAAGCACATTAGGAGAATACAACACGGGTAACATTTCTCAACGTGAACGAAACTTGGCAAGTATTTTTTGAAGTCTTTAAAAAGCCACACTTTTCAATGTGGTCTTAGTAAACTTAAATGGTGCATCTTATAATTAACAGATCCATTTTTTTTCCAAAAAGAGGATAAAAAGTTGATATTTAAAACAGAGCTTTCAAAAACCAGGATACGCATTAGCAAGGATAAAATTTCCACTGATAGCAAAACAGACAGTAGATAAATCATACACCCAAGAAAATCCAAGAAAATGCAAGGTCTAAAAATCATATCGAAACCTCAGAACCCCGTTTTTATCTTCCTAAAAAGAAAAGAAAGCTCTAAAACTTCTGCCTTTAGAAGTTTGTATAAATCAAAGGTAACACGAGCACAGTCACTCCCTCCTGTGACCCTGAGGCCACGCTTCACCCCACAGGCATCCAGACACACCTGGAAGTGACTCACAGGTAAGCCTCGGCAAGCGCCAACACCACAGCTTGCTCCGAAGTCAAGTTATTAGCAGGAGAAACAAAAGGTCAACCCCAGAAACTGTTTTAGGCCCCAAAACACTAACAGCAAAAAGATGTTTTGGTTCTGAAAATGTCATGTGCTCCTTACTCTTCCAACAAACACACCGGCATCAGCCCCGCATGCATCAGACACCGTCCTGGGGAACCCACAGCCCACTGTTCATGCACTGCGGGCCCAGCGACCTGTCCTCAGGAGGCACACCTCCCCACTGACCTGGGAGCGCAGGCCTCGGGCAGCTCAATGGTGCAAAGCTTTCTGTGTGTCTCTCTTCTTTAAAAAACTTGACATCTTACACAAACTACTGAATGTGGTAAATAAAAATGAACAGCCTCCCCTAACAAGGTCCTTCATGGTGACTCATAACAGTAATGTTTAAAACGTGAACAGATGAAGCATGGAATGTGATCTGACCTGAGTCTCCAAAAAGCATTCTTAAGATAACAGAACTGTTTACATTCGTTTCAAATTGTTTAGTGATTTAGCGGCACTGAAGTTTCTGAAGAGCTGGAGCTGTTACTCACTTGTCTTTTATTTCAAAGCGCTCATGAAGCCATCTCTTCATATATACTTGCTCTTCTGGGACATCTTTTTTGTCTATCCGATCAATGTGAATATGAATTTTTGGAGAATCTTTGCAGAGAAATTCTATGAAAGAAAAAGATCTCATTTTAATTATTCTAGAACTCACAGTTACATAAAATAACAAGGAAAATGAAGCTTAAACAGTTTAAAAATGATGAAAAGGTACAGAAGAGAAAGGTATAGTTTTTCTCTTCAGCAAAATAAATTCGAAGAAAATGAAGACAATAAACTGGTGGTTTGGGGTTTCAAGCTGCAGTAGAAAAGCATATTATAATTTCCAAGTCTTCCACAATTATCAAAGTCATTAGTTAAATCAAACAGTATCCAATGTTACTTTTCATACAACAACCTAGAATTCTACAGGCAGCCAAGGACCAGGCAGCTGGACTTGACAGTATGTACCCACCCTCTGCAGGGCCGCCCAGATGCCAACCACAGCAGACCTACCAGTCACCTTCATGGGACCCCCAGCCCCCTGTTCCCAGGCCGAGTGCTTGTCACACGTCACTGCTGCTCCCCGTGCCTGGGCCAGAACACGGCTGCCTGCACGACTGTCTACATGGCAGGAGCCCACTCTGGAGGTCCCTTCCCCTCCATGATCTGCTAGTGGTCTCCACTCCCTGCTGCTCCTTGCTTTCCTAGTCCTTGCTGTATTTTAACATATTCTACTTGGTTTGGGAACCAAATTTTTTTGGAATAGCTGTGAGCTCCTAAATCATGACAATTTCTAAAACATGCTAATTTGAAAAAAAAAAAAAGCAGTCCTTTGTCAGCCTGGGTTGCACAAGGGATGAAGTCAGGATTTATTTCAAGATAACAAAGACCTTTGAGCCTGGAAATTCTTTTTGGTAGGTGGCTTTCTGTGGAGACAGGAGAATAATAATGTACTTAAATTCCTGGAGAACAAGGAAATATTGCTAACAGATTTAAGAGAAGACTATGTTCCCTGGGTGGGCGGGAAGCAGGAGGTGGAGACCTTTGATCTCAAGTTGAAATGTGGTCCAAGACGTGTTCCAAGAAACGGTGGCTCGTACGTTGTCCCTAAGGCACTGCTAATCTGAGAGGAGACGGAGCTCCCATACGCACGTGCCAACCTTGCCCACAGCGTGTGCCGTGGGAGGGCGAGAGCAGGAAAGCCACGTGAGCTAGAAAGCAGGTGGCGATGGGGGCCCTCCCTGGAGACAAAGCCCAGACCTGACAGGGGCAACGAGGGGGAAGGGGCCTCACGTGGAAAGGTGGCCTGGCTCACAACGCCCCAGTCCAGTACAGGCCGTGCATGGGGGCGCGGGAGGATTCCAGTAACAAGGTGCAAACCAGTTCCCCCCGGGCAGCATTGGGCAGGAGCAGACGGCACGAAGGAGGCACTCAGGGCAGAGAGCCGGTCCCCGGACGGCAGGCCAGACCCGCACGGGGACCCTGCCCGCGGGGTCCCCGGACGGCAGGCCAGACCCGCACGGGGACACTGCCCGCGGGGTCCCCGGACGGCAGGCCAGACCCGCACGGGGACACTGCCCGCGGGGTCCCCGGACGGCAGGCCAGACCCGCACGGGGACATGATAAAACCAGCACTTTAAAAAAGTTATTGTGGGAATTATAACTGGTTGTCATAAATAATAAAAACATGTTTAATCTCATTTTTAAACGTCTGATAAACGTTTGGCAATGCTGTAGAATAACTAAATATAAGTCTGTCTCCAAATGTGAACTAGGGCAACGACTCCTTCAGTGGCTGAAAAAAGAAATAAATATATTATATGTCGCCTTTTTTATAAGAGGGAGGGCCAGTGGAGTCAATTAAATTTGTACCCATCACACCCCGGAGGTGAAGAACAGTGGCTGCCGGGGGAGGAGCGGTGGCAAGGCCAGACGAGTGGGGCAGGGCGGAAAGCCAGCTGTTCCACTGCGCACGTTACATAGTTCTGATTTTTAAACTGTTCGATGCCTAATATACACCAAAAAATCACATTTAAAATGAAAAAAAAAAGCTTCAGCTTCATACTTCACAGTCATTCTTACTTCAGATGTGGCTGCCGCAGGCCTTACTTCCTCCCACCACGATCCGTTTCTGCACCACTTACCCCTCAGTGCCTCGCCCCGTGTCCTCTCTCCCAGACCTCCTGCTCTGGGAGCTACTCTCTGTGTGTCTGGAGCATATTTGAACATCGGCCTTCGGAGCTCCCACTGACAGGAGCCGTCTGACAAGCACATTAGCTCCAGGTGAGATGCCAGGCCCACCGCCACGGACACTTTGAGGCGGGGCCGGCAACTCCCCGCTTCCTCGCTGCCCCCTCCCGTGTTCTCATTTCCCTAACGATCATGAGTGTCTTTGGTGATGCTTAACAAAAACAATCTGCTCATGTAAAATCCTGTTTTTTTCTTGCTGTATCTGACATACACGTGAACAACAGCTCAAAGGTTCTTAATACTTAGCACAGGTTTGAAGAAAGAAAAAATCACACTTAACAGTTTTCCTTCTTGTGCGTGACACTAGATTTCATAAATATTATGTGAGAAGTACATAGGAAGATGCACGCTGACCATCAGCGCCCACCTCAGTACTGCGAGGTGCGCGCCGTTCCGCCTCACTCCTTCCTTTGATGTCTGAACCTTTCCATTTTCATGTGTGACCCCCGGGTAGAGAGAGGCTGAGTCAATGACAATGGGCAAGTCTAAAGGATTTAACGTGACAGCCAAGAAGTACCAAACTTAGCAGGACTAGTGAAATGCAGCTGTTACAGATTCATAAAAAAGACAACAAGTATACATACTTGGAAGATATTGCCAAGTAAATGTAATACAGTAGAGTGCACTTACCAATTTTTAAAAAACAAACTATCCATTTGTAAATAGAGATGACCTACTTGATAGAGTTTTTTGTTTTTTGCTTTTCTTTTTGGTGGGGGGAGGTAGTTAGGGTTATTTATACATTTATTTTTAAAGTGGCAGTACTGGGGATTGAACCCAGGCCTCGTGCATGCTAAGCACATGCTCTCCACTGAGCTACACCCTCCCCACTGAGATGACCGACTGTGAAACAGACTCACCAGCCATGGATGGTGCTTCTTTCCGCTGCCCTTTGTCGTCCACAGTCCCTTCAAACGCCACCGTCACATCATAAATTGCATCTAAATAATCCTTCATAGACTCAAAAGCAACATGAGTTGCCTTAATTCTTGGTGTCAGCACATGTTTTAATACTGGAAGGCCTAGAAAAGAAGTTGTTTAAGTGTGGCCATAAATTAGTTACAAAACACCTTGGCAACAGAATATAACATCTAAATGGTTTTTCAGTTTCCACTAAAAGACAGACCAGAATGTAGTAATGCCATAATCTCTACAGGACTTCCAGTTTAGAGAGCACTTTCACGTGACTTTCTCAATTTAAATCAACATTTATTTAATACACATTTATTAAACAGCTACATGTACAAGACACTGTAGGGAAGGGCTGGAAAAGCCACACTCAAGAAGCTTACGGCATCTCAGATACCCTCAGAAACTCCAACAAGAGCAAACACATGATCCTCACCTCTGGCAACAGAACAAAGGTGGTAGCATCTTGCCCATGGCCACTTCAAGATTCAAGAGTTCAGTTCATAACTTCTGACTCCAAGTCCATGATTCCTTCAGTTCTATTTCTACTCAAATAGAAATGGGGTGGGATTACCCAAACGACCCCCACTGTGCATAATATCTGAACTCAGGGCTGATGTGATCTATATACCACAAAACACTGGCCTGATGCCTTTAGGGTAAACTGGAGAATCTAGTTTCTTAGTACAATTTTTTAAACCTTTGAAATTGAATTCATATACCATAAAATCCTCCACTGTAAAGTACACGATCCTGTGGCTTTTTTGATATATTCAAAAAGCTGTACCACCAACACCACTATCAAATTCCAGACCATTTTCATCACTCCAAAGACACTCATCACCCTTTGTGGACACTGCACACTTTCCTTCTCTGCACACACCACCCCCCGACCCTCCCAGGCCCCCAGTCCCCCACTACCATAATTCTACTTTCAGTCTCTTTGGATTTCCTGATTATGGACATTTCACATAAATGAAATCACAGAATTGTGGACTACTGTGTCTAGCTTCTATCATGCAGCATAATGTTTTCAAGGTTCTTCCATACTGTAGCATACATCATTACCTCATTACTTTTTATGGCTGAATAATATTCCACTGTATGGATATACCACATTCTATTTATCCATTTAAGAGTGGACAGATATTTGGGCTTTTCATCCTTTGGCTATTATGAATAATGCTGCTATGAACATTCATACATACTGCATATGAAAGCTGCACATTAACAAGTTTTGGTATGAACATAGAATTTCAATTCTCTTGGGTATATTTTATATATATAACACACACACATAATATACATACACACACACACATGCACCTTTAAAAGCTTCTTTGAGAAACTACTGCAATTTATATGGAATAATTAATCACGTATTCATTAGTATTCCTGCTAGTGCTAAGAATTTGTTCTTCTCTCCTTCCTATTTCCAGCTGCCTCCCTTTTCCTGGATTGGAATATTTGCTCAGTTTAACAGAAAAGTGTAGCTCTCTGAAGAAGTGACATGAAAATAGATGAGAAAAAAAAACTCGACTTGGATTTTCTACTGCCTGTCTCCAGGGAAAATCAGCTGCATGAGGAAGAACAGCAACCGCATGTTGGGATCTTCCTGCAGAAGAATTTTTAAAATGCAGAGTGGTGTGGGAAAGCAACAGATTCCCACAACCGCGTATCTGACTGAAGTCCCCAGGGCAGAAGCAGTTTAATTTATTCACAAACTTATAACAAAAATCTGAATAGTATACCATGCTGGGAAACATTTATTTGTCAATTAAATTAGTTGATACTGCCTTCTCTGCTATTGGAACTTGCTCAGTTTTACTAAGCCCATAGTTCCACAGAATCACTCTGGTATTCAGTAAAAACAATTAATTCTTAAAATCTAAGTAAGTTAGTAAGAAAATAAGAAGACAGAAAAGTAATACTTCCTCCAAAATGAGTCATAATGAAGGCATGGAAAACCTGGCTTGGCGGCGGACGAGTAAGAAAAACCCATCAGAAGGACGTAAGCAGAGCGGAGACGAGGAACGCACACGGGGCGGCATCCCTTCAACACGTTTTCTAGATCCAGTCCGTGTCCAGCACATTCCAGCTTTCATCTACCAGCTCTTGAAAAGGAAGCGCCAACGAGGAAGGAAAAACACAAGGAGGCTGGGGTGACGCAGATGCCCAGAGAAGAAAACGTCTCAAGGAGAAGGAAGCGGTCAAACACGCTCACTGGAAATCACTGAAACGTCCAGACGGGACCAAACTTGGGCCAAATGGAGGCCACGCGCTCCCTGGACCAGTGTTTTCAGCAGGTAGTTGGACAGAGGGGCAGAGAGCGGGTCAGCGGAGGTGTGGACACAACAGTGACCTGTTCTTCTCTGTGTGTACTTATTAACACACGGGCCATTGATCTTCCAAGACTTGGCATAATATAAGATTCCCTCACCATTCCAATGAGTGGAATCTGGCTTTTCTTCTTTTGAGGGGGGGTGGGGAAGTAATTAGGCTTTTATTAACGAATTAAATTTTAAATGGAGCTGCTGAGGATTGAACCCAAGACTGTGTGCATTCTAGGCACGCACTCTACCACTGAGCTATACCCTCCCCACGGAATCTGGCTTTTCTTTGACGATCAGAAGTCACTTCACAATCCTACAAGCCCGTGGGCTCCCCTAGTCCACACAGGGAACAATTTACAGCCTCTGACCAAGCGGTCTTCAAACAGGGAAGAGGGCACACTCACTAACCCGAAACCTTGGGCCATTAATGTAAAAGCAATTGCACAGTAACACTACAGAGACCAGCTGGAATGCCAGCGCAGACGTGCATAGCGGACTGCTGGAGCTCGAGCCTGCCCTACTGCCTGACCGCCTCCAGGAGCCACAGAAAACGCCAGAGCTCTGAGCAGAGAACAGGCAGCCAGTCCAGTTCATTCTTCCCGGCCACTGTCCAGTCTCCTCTTGGTTTCCATCTCCAGTCTCCTCGACTTCCACTCGGTACTGACGACACTTTACCTTCTGACTAAGCTTCTGCCCGCGGGCCACAGTGGCGGTGCTTGGTCTAACTGAGACTTCGCTGTCAGTGTTGTATTTAGGAAACGTAAACAAATGATAAACTCATGGGACAGAAAATCTCTATTGATCCACGCAGGAAATTTTACATCACATTCATCATCTCACTTGACTCCAGCAAACTAAGGAACTGTGGCTCAGAGAGAGAAAATGATTTGCTCCAAGTCACACAGATCACAAGACTTTATAATGCCTTGTTCAGCACATTTTCTATTCAGTAATTATTAACAAGACACTGCTTTAGAACTATAAACATGCAGGTTAGGGGTTAATGAGGCAATGAAATAAACAGCTATGGTACATGGTAGAATATTCTAAAGGAGACTAAAAATATCCTCAGAATACAAAAATACTACTCACACTTAAAGATTCGTTTTCTCAGTCACTCATCTGATTGGTAAAAGCTTCAGGAAAGAGAGAGCATTGGAGAGAGACCAACATGGAGGCTCGGAGAAGAAAGTGGGGACAAACCTGACAGACGAACAACGGGCCAAAGCAAGAGAGGTCAGAGTTAAGCCGAACACCCAGGTTCAGAGGAAGGAAGAGCAAGGAAGAGGTTCGAGGCAGAACTGGCTACATAATTTGCAGGACCCAGTGCAATTTCGAGACTGTAAAAGCAGAGCATTAACCCAACACTGGATCCTGTGCAAGAAAATGGATTTCCCCCGAGAGCGTACAGATAGAACTACGGTTAGGACCCCATCTTGACTTTTGCCTGTGAGACCCGTTTCAAACTTCTGGCCTCCTGAGCTGTAAGAGGACACCTCTGTATCATTTTAAGACACCACGTCTATGGTACTTTGTTGCAGCACCACAGAGAACAAGTATGCATCTTAGCTCCCAGCAGACAGGTAAGTGTGACTTTTCCACCGAATTTGGACCAACGCTTGGCAGTAATTTTCTTTTTTAATGTTTGCGAGGTGGACCTGTTTCAGAGTGCTCATTTAATTTGTATTTCTTTGATTATAAGGGAGAAAGACTATTTGTTTATGTGTGTGGATCATTCAAATCTCTAAAATTTCCAATTCATGAACTTTTTTTCATTTTTCTCATTTACGTCTTTTTCTTACTAATTAATTAGCAAGAGTTCTTTCCATACTAAGTTTATTAATATTACATATATTAACTTGACATTTTTCACTTAGATTTGTTTATGTGATGCTTCAGATACAATAATAACTTTTATTCAATTAAGTCTCCAAAGAAAAGAAAACATTCTGCGTTTAGGGTTTTTTTAACGTTGGCAGTATCGTTTATTAAGCTGTGCCTTAGGACAGGTGCTGCGCTTGCCCACGGTGCTCTTAACATACAAAGCTTGGATGCTCTGCCAAATTTTCTTGAGCGATGACACCAGGAAGTTGACAGCTAAGTGGACGTTGTACACAAGCTCATCATCTGTCATCAGCACGTGGCAAACAGACACAGCACCTTCTTCATCTGGAACTTGATCGTGGCCTTCACTTCATCAACTCTGGCCACATGTTCTCACTGTGGGTCAGCAAGGAAGGGAACTTGCCAGCCTTATTCAGACCTGGGCCCAGGATTCTTGGGATCTGCCTGATCAGAGACTCTGAAGCCAAAAAGGCATCATACTTCTTGGCCACCTTTTTAACCAGGTTCTTATGCCTGTTGAGTCTCTTCAGAGCCTTGACATCCACACTGGGGAGAGCCACAGCCTTGGCCTCATCACAATGCTGCTGGTCCCCGAGGAAGTTCTGCATACGGAAAACCTGGGGCAGGGAGTGGACGGCAGCCTGATGGTGCCCGAGAAGTATCTGTCCTTCTGAGGGTCACAGTTCTCCAGGCTGACCTGTTCCATTGCCTCCCGAAACTTCCACTGGTTCCTGGGCAGGGCTTCTCACACCACCTCGCACAGGGTGTCGCGGGAGACCCACTGCCTATCAGGCCTCACGCCGCGATAACCGGAAAAGAGACTGTTCTTAGGCAGTGCTACTCAAAGGAGGAAGGCCAAATCCCATAAATCCTAGAGCCTTAAAACTACAAAGACCTTGCTCGGTAACGTTATCTGGCTGAGTAACGTGGACACT